TTCTGTTCTTTAAAAACACACTGCAACAACACAATCAGCCACTAAACTGCAGATTTGGGAAACAGTTGATCCGGAGGCCTGATCTGAGGCTCGTTGGTAATTTGTTCATTGGGGCTTCTGTGGGTGTGAGTGGGTTGAAGAGGCACAAGACAATCGGAGGCTATGCAGTTTAACCTTTAACAGAGCTAACAGGGACTTTGAACTGGAACTCAAAGAAGCTAATCCAAGTAGTCACAACCATCTACTAATACTGGACCAGATCCCTTAATCACATGCATACATCACTGTGCACACACATGATTTGATTTTTGTCCAAGGAGTAGGAGTCATTTTATATTATTTTTTTTAAATGGGAATTTAATATTTTTATAGCAGAATCTGTTGACGCATTTCTACCATTGCAAAGTATATTCAGCCGAGTCCTAATGATATTGTAAGAGGTAATGCATATAGTAAATATTTTTGTGACTTCTTTAAATCTGTCCCTAATGTTCTAAATGAAGATAAACTAATGGCATTATGTTTTTGGCCCACTGCACTCATTTCCCGTGTTAATTACCCCTCACAGCTCTGAAAGAAAGTATAGTCACTCTGAAAACCTCTCCACATCATGCTGAGGATTATATTTCACGTGCTATGTTTGCATTTGTAAGTAATATAATCGACTTTCATCCTAAGTCACCTGCTGAAGTAATCCTCCCGAGCGCCAAATATGCACTTTCTTTTATGCCGCTTTGGTGAGAACACGTCTGCCAAGAAAAGTAATGTAAAATGCGTGAGCTCAAGCTAGATTTTCTTTCCAGTTTTGCCTGTTAGCATGTCCCAGTTTGGTCCTAATTTAAAGAACAGTCCTGTTAGCCATTTAGATAAGCTGCCTTGCTTTTTCAGTTAAAGGAATGGTTCACTCAGAATGGTAAATTTGGTCATCATTTACTCTCCAAACATGTGTGACTTTCATTCTTTTGTGGAATACAAAAGGAGATCTTGAAAAATATCTTGGCCACTCTTTGTAGCATGATAAAAGTGAATGAGGTCTGGTGAAGTTTATTCAAAAGTGCAACATTGTATCCTCTAGCTCAAACAGTAGAATGCAATAGCAATGCCAAGGTCAAGGGTTCAATTCCCAGGGAATGCATAATATACTTTGAATGCAACACAAGTTGCTTTGAATAAAAGTCTCTGCCAAATGCATTAAAAAATGTTTACATAAAAAAAAATTATAAATTCCTAGACATTCCTAGACATTAAAAAATTCAAGAGCTCTTAATGGAACCGAATGTCATGAGAACCAATCATATTTAATGTTTTTATTTTATAATTGAAGAAAATGGTTCTTGATTCTCAAACTTAGTACTTAGACCACTTAACTTAATGATTGCTATCGGGATGTGAAGAGACTTTCAAACAGCATAATGTTTCTGAAGACAATCACCTATTGCACCTTTAAGGTGCAAGGTGAAATGCACAGGAAATTGTTACTACTGAGACCTTGTTGTGTTTTCCGATTGCCTTTTTGTAACATGAATCGGTCTCTAACTGCCACCTCTCTTTTTATCTGTCTGTAGGAGATAAAGATGGCAGCAAAGTGACCACAGTGGTGGCGACCCCTGGACAGGGACCTGACCGGCCGCAGGAGGTCAGCTACACTGACACCAAGGTCATCGGGAACGGCTCTTTTGGCGTGGTCTATCAGGCCAAGCTCTGTGATTCAGGAGAACTGGTGGCCATTAAGAAGGTCCTTCAGGACAAGCGATTTAAGGTAAGAGTGAGACATTCATCCCTTCTCAGTCCCTTGACTGTATGTACTGCTTTTGGCCTTAAGACTTTTCTTAAGAACATCTCAGACTCTCTTATCAAAGTGCTTTGGTCTCTGTCCCTATATCCTTATTTATTTATTTTATTATTATTATATTTTTTTTTTTGTATGTCTGTTCTTTGATCAATTCCTTTATTTCATTTCTTCAGTGTTATTGCTATCCTTTTGTCTTTCATCTCTGCTATCTTATATTTCTTTTATATAGTTCTAATTTCTTATTGTTTATCATTTCTCTTTTAGCTGAATTCCATACTGATGTGCTCATACAGGTGTAGTAAGTCTAATACCTAAAGTTTCCTAAATAGATACAATGCTACAGGTTTCAGCGACAAGCAATTTGAACACAAAACTGCTGCTTGAATAACAGCCATTCAGAAGATATCCAATGTTCAATAAACAGTTATGAGAAGCAGGGTTTTGAATCAAAGTTGGTTGGGAAAATGTCCTGTCACTTGTCATGCCTCCTTATGACAAAAACTCAGATTTACTTGGAAGATTTCAACACTTGGCACTTGTTGCGTAAGGTTAATGCACAGTCTTGGGTTTGGCAAAGCTTTTTCCTAGGAATTGAACCCACAACCTTGGCATAGGGCTGCACAAAAAATAATAATATGACTTAAAATATGACTATGAAATAATAATAATTATTATTATTAATTTTATTAAATAATGATATTAAACAAAGTAAGAAATACTACTGTTGAAAAAAAAACTGAATATTTAAGGTAAATAATATAGTAATAATTTTTTATAGTACAGTAGATTTACAGTTAATTTTAAACCTACCGTAATAAATAATCTTTTTTTTTTCTTTCTTTTTTTTTGTCATTTTTTAGCATTTGTGGTGTAATTTAGTGTAATAAATAATCCTTTTTTTTTTTTTTGTGAAGTGCTTTTGCCCATTAATGTAAAAAAGGAATGGTAATTGTAGCATAGGTATATATCCAAATAATTTCCTGGTGATGATGTGAGAAACTGATTTGAACCTAGTTGTCTTTGCTTGCTTGCTACTGAAATTGTTTTGGGCCCCACTAGACCTGAGGGCCCCTAATATTATTCCCACCATATTAGCAACAGCACTGCATCCGATGAGTGTAGACTTTGCAGTTTAATCTGGAGTTGAAGCGTACCTTAGTAAGAAGGAAGGGGGCTTTGTGCTGATAGATGACAGACATCATCTCTTTCATATATTGCCGCAGAAAAGTATGATTGACAGGAGAAGGATGTCACCTTTCCTGTGCCTTAAAATATGACTATGAAATAATAATAATTATTATTATTAATTTTATTAAATAATGATATTAAACAAAGTAAGAAATACTACTGTTGAAAAAAAAACTGAATATTTAAGGTAAATAATATAGTAATAATTTTTTATAGTACAGTAGATTTACAGTTAATTTTAAACCTACCGTAATAAATAATCTTTTTTTTTTTCTTTCTTTTTTTTTGTAATTTTTTAGCATTTGTGGTGTAATTTAGTGTAATAAATAATCCTTTTTTTTTTTTTTGTGAAGTGCTTTTGCCCATTAATGTAAAAAAGGAATGGTAATTGTAGCATAGGTATATATCCAAATAATTTCCTGGTGATGATGTGAGAAACTGATTTGAACCTAGTTGTCTTTGCTTGCTTGCTACTGAAATTGTTTTGGGCCCCACTAGACCTGAGGGCCCCTAATATTATTCCCACCATATTAGCAACAGCACTGCATCCGATGAGTGTAGACTTTGCAGTTTAATCTGGAGTTGAAGCGCACCTTAGTAAGAAGGAAGGGGGCTTTGTGCTGATAGATGACAGACATCATCTCTTTCATATATTGCCGCAGAAAAGTATGATTGACAGGAGAAGGATGTGCAGCGACACATAAATGCTGTCGTGCTGAGAGTGACTGTAAGATCAGATGGTGGTGTAAATGAAATTTAGGTCACTCATGTCAACGAGCGGTTTCTGTTAGTGAGAATAAATTAACCTCGTCTCGTCATGACCGTGACCAGCGTGGATGAGCCATGTCCATCAGAGAGCTGTAGTGCATCCATGTGGTGTGTGTGAGACAGAATATGGTCACATATGAAGGACAGCATGTGAACAGTGACCTGACAGAGATATTGACACTGTGTTCTGGTGTGTGTGTGTGTGTGTGTTTTGTTTGTGAAGCTGTGTGCCCTTTCCATTGGCACTTTGTTGGGTCTTTCATATATTGCCGCAGAAAAGTATGATTGACAGGAGAAGGATGTCACCTTTCCTGTGCAGTGACACATAAATGCTGACGTGCTGAGAGTGACTGTAAGATCAGATGGTGGTGTAAATGAAATTTAGGTCACTCATGTCAACGAGCGGTTTCTGTTAGTGAGAATAAATTAACCTCGTCTCGTTCACTAACGAAACACTGTTGTATGATGCTTGGAGACGCACACCAGATGATATAGTTGGAATTAGGATTTAGTTGTAACTATTATTTCGTTGCAAAATAGAACAAACATGACAATATTCTGTTCAAAATGTAGGCTACATTTAAAATGTAAAATGTTCACTTAATATTACCTTTTTTGTTGAACTGTTGTAAAAATGTAATGGCACATTTGCCATTGTTTGGATATTCAGGGAAATTTTAATTCTTGCTCGTATCTTAAACATGAAAACAATAACACGCACAGAGTGTGTCTGTATCGAAGATAGTCAATCTCAATGTACAGTGCGTGTCAATATTTGCTCTTCACGCTATTAAGTGAAGATCTACTTTAAAGATACATTGAACAGCAGGGCGATTTGCTAAAGCAGCATATTCAGCGGGCATCCTATACGCACGCTGCTTGTGTGGATGCAGTCAGTTTTGACCGCAAAAAATGAGGTAAGCTGATTGGATATCATATATTTGACCGTTTACGGCACCCCCATTTTCCTGTTTTTACATTAGAAGCGGCATTTTGCTTGTCA